CAGTCTCGCTCACATCAAGGTGGGAAAGAAAGGCCGTGCACGGTATGTTACGAGCACAGTCAACTCAAAATTGTGTGTGCGGATACAACAGTGGGCGTTGCTGTCATATGATCACACTGGCTGTGAATTCACAAGAGCCTGCAAGCAGCCATTCAGGCATGAGATCCCTGCCATGCGTTCACAGCGTCTTTTCATCCTCCTCCACCCTTCCCCACGCCATCCCCACCTCCTCCTTGCCCTTGTGGGTGTGTGCGTGTGTGAGCAGGAGGAGTTGGCGTGCAGCCGGGCAGAGGTGAGGGAGCTGAGGGGCATGATGGCAGACATGCAAGCACTCATGCTCGACCTCCTCGCCCGCACGCCCCCCACGGGACACACTGCCCACGCAATGAGTGCTCCCGCGGGGCTGCCAGTGCCGTCAGCCATGCCGCGAGCCTACACGGAGCCCCCGCGTCTCCCCATCCCTCTCGCAGACTCCTCGCGTCTCCCCGTCCCTCTCACGGACTCCTCAGAGCCTCTGGAGCAAGGGGGAAGGAGGAGGGACCTGCCACAAAGGTTCTGCGATAGCAGGACAGGTGGGGGTGGAGTGGAAACAGAGGGGGGCGTACGAGAGGGCTCGAGCATTGCCGGAGGGGGCGCAAGCAGAAGCTTGTTGGCGGCAAGGCAAGGCTTCGAGAGGCGGGTGTCTTTCAAAGACGACACAGCGGCGAATAGGACGAGCCCTGTGAGGACAGGGGGGGAGTGGCAGCAGCAGCAGCCCCTGGTGTGAAGACTTCGTCAGCAGCAGTTCCTGGGCCTGCCACTGCCAGTAGCCAATACTAGCAGTCTTGCATTAGAGTGGTGGTGCAGTAAGCATTGATTCGCAGTGCAAAGTGGTTTAAGCTTTAACTTCAGTCAAAAGGCATCATACCGCACCGCACCGACTGGGTAACCGGGAGTAAACTGAAACAATTCAAGCCTGATACCATCAGAAATATGAGAAAAAAATGTGGCAGCGCTCGTCATGTCACATGGTACTATAAGGCCCAGGTCTTATAATTCATAAAATCCACACTCTAGCCCTCCTTATCCATTCTCGCCTGTATCACTACCTACCCTGCACACACGCACACCTACCACCTAACCCTCCCATACCACCCCCCCACACACGTACACCCCTTCCAACAGCATCAGCAAGACACATACTTAGCAACCAACTCCGCAAACAGCACAAGTTGCAAGCGGCATTGGTGGCAGTGGCGACCACGGCAGCAGCAGCACGAGCATCAGCAGTTGCATCAGCAGCAGCAGCGGCAGCATCAGCAGCATCAGCAGCAGCAGCAGCAGCATCAGCAGCATCAGCAGCAGCAGCAGCAGCATCAGCAGCATCAGCAGCAGCAGCAGCAGCATCAGCAGCAGCAGCGGCAGCATCAGCAGCATCAGCAGCAGCAGCAGCAGCATCAGCAGCAGCAGCAGCAGCAGCAGCAGCAGCAGCAGCAGGAATGGCACCGACAAAAAGCAGTAGCGAATTTAACAGAAGCCAGCAATGGCAGCAGCAGTAAGCTCTGCCAGCAGCAACAACAGACGCACCGACAGCAGCAGGCAGACCAGCAGAACCAGCAGAATAGCCTTATAGAGTGCCATTTTGAGCATCATCTCATCCAATCCCATCAGCCAAGGTGGGAGAACCCCACTGCACCACGCTGATTCTGCTACATCACCCACTTATTCCGCTGTACCCATTTGCCACAGCCTTGAGAGCGTCATCACTTCTTTTTTGAGTCGACTCAAAAATGGGAGAACCCCACTGCACCACGCTGCTTCTGCTACCCACTTATTCTGCTGTACCCATTTGCCTTGAGCGCGTCATCGCTTCATCTCCCCCCCACTTCCCTCTCCCCCCCTCCCCCTCCCCCCCCCCCCCCCCCCTCCCCCTCCCCACCCCCACCCCCCCTGCTGTGCGCGTTCGCCTCAGACCCCTCTTCCCCCCCCTCCCCGTGTCCTTCCCTGTGTCCTTCCCCGTGTCCTTCCCCGTGTCCTTCACCTCCTTCAGCGTCAGGCCTTCACCACCCCGCCGCTGACCTTAGCGTTTGCTGCTGCCGCCAGGGACGCTATATCTCCCACCTTGCCCCCCATGGCCTTCCCCGTGCCCTTCCCCGTGCCCTTCTCCGTGCCCTTCCCCGTGCCCTTCCCCGTGCCCTTCTCCGTGCCCTTCCCCGTGCCCTTCCCCGTGCCCTTCCCCGTGCCCTTCCCCGTGCCCCTCCATGTGCCCTTCACCTCCTTCCACGTCAGGCCTTCGCCTTTGCGTTCGCCGCCGCGGCCTGCGACGCGATGTCTCCCACCTTGCCCCCCCGCCGCTTCCCTATGCGCGTCCCCGTGCCCTTCCCCATGTTCTTCCACGTCAGGCCTTGGCCTTTGCGTTTGCCGCCGCCGCCTGCGACGCAATGTCGCCCACCTTGCCTCCCAGGCCCTTCCCCGTGCTCTTCCCAGCCGCCGCCGCGTCCTTCTGCTCCTTCCACGTCAGCAGCACCCGCACCGCCTCATCCAGCCCGTCCGTCACCTCCCCCACTTCCTCCCCCACCTCCTCATCCTCCTCCGCGCCACCCTGCTGCTCCGCGTCCGTGTCAGACCTCATCAGCACCCGCACCGCCGCCTCCTCATTCACCTCCCCGCCCACCTCCTCCTCATTCTCCTCCTCCTGCGCTTCACCCTGCTGCTCCGCGTCCGCATCAGAGCTCATCAGCACCCTCACCGCCTCATCCAGCCCGCCCACCACCTCCTCCTCATTCACCTCCTCACCCTCTTGCACGCCACCCTGCTGCTCCGAGTCAGCGTCTGAGCTCATCAGCACGCGCACCGCCTCATCCAGTCCGTCCGTCACCTCCCTCACGCCTACCTCCTCTTCCGCCGCGCCAGCCTGCTGGTCCACGTCAGCGTCCGCGCCGGTTGCGGCGGCGGAACCGCTGCGCGACTCCAGCAACTTGCGACCCCACCTCGCCGCCGCGTCCACGGCTGCGCTTCCCCCAGAAGCAGCGACGCCACCCCGCTTTGGCGCGGAGGCGGCGTAGAGCGCGGGGAGCGAGGCGAGGACCAACGCGAGGATGAAGACGGAGCGAAGAGTAGCCATGCTAGGATTTAGAGAGCGTCGGGGCGTCAGAGCGCCGGGTTGAGTCGCTTCAAAAGACGACTTAGAGAGCGTCGGAGGGTCGGAGGGTCGGAGGGTCGGAGCGTCGGAGGGCCGGATTCTAGTGAGTAGCACTGCGAGCGATGAGGATTCGATTGAGGTGGTTTTTTAAAATTCAGAGAAGCAACTCAGTGTGGTGAATGGTGGAACGGAGTCAGTTTAAGTAGTAACGGAAGACGAGGAAGCGAGGCTGGTGGAGGGAGCTGCGAGTCGCCGTGGTACTCCTTCCAGCAGCTCGCAGTTATTGCTGGCATGGCGCCGCTGCACGACGCGCAACGCGCTACCAGTGTGCACGCTACTACCAGTGGGGCTATCGGTGTGCGCCTACTAGCAGTGGGGCTACCGCCGCGTGCTGCGCTCGACTCCGACTCAGAGTTGGATGGCAACTCATTGCCACAATAATGGCAATGAGCGATTATGGCAGCTCATTTCAAGCAAGGGGCTCGCCAGATAGCCAGCGAGGTGACTGCCAAGAGCAGGAGGTGAGGTTATTGGTGGGGGGAGAGGAGTCCGCCGCCGACTGTACCGTAGCGAAAGGAAGCTAATCTCATTCCCGCAGCTCACAGTTATTGATCGCATCGTCATGGCGCCGCACAATGCGCTAGGAGCGACTGCCGCGTGAGGCGTTGGGACGCGGCACGCTAGTCAACGCGGACGCGAAACGCGCTGGTGCGCACCTTGGGTCGATAGGTGAATGCAAGAGAGCTCCGAGATCAACGGCGGCAATAATGGCTTTGCGCGGGTTGGGTAGTTGTTTCTTGAAGCCGAAGATGCAGGAGTGTTGGGGTGGGGAGCGTGTTCGGCAGAAAGAGGGCTTGTTTACGGGCCACTTCGAAAATGCGTCGGCGAAAATCTCGACGAGAAGAGAAAATCAGTTACTCTGTAAGAATGGCTAGGCGATCGAAGCTTCCACTGGTCGGACACATGCGAGAAAAAACAAAGCCATCCAAACGAAGATCCAGGTAACTTTTCTTTTCTCGTCGACCGATTCGCTGATACGTGTTGAGCTCGTGGTCTTCGTGGGAAGCCAGCCCTACCCGAACACGCTCCCAGGAACTTCTCCGTCCTCCCCTTCACAAACAAGTATTTGCGGAGCTGAGAGCCATTATTGCCGCGCTGCCGTTGATCTCGGAGCCCTCCACTCCTGCACTTAGTTTTCAAACGCAGGTGCACAGCAGCGTGCGTCGTCGTTATCAACATGCTGTTTCTCAACGCCTAACGCAGCAATCGCTCGTTGCGCATTGTGCGGCGGCATGGTGCGAGCAATAATCGCGAGTTGCTGGAATGAGATTAGGTTACTGCCGCTACGGTGCAGAGGGCGCACTCCTCTCCCCCCACCCAACCGCCACCCCTTTCTCTCGAAAATCGCATCGTTGGCGATCGGGCGAAAAACTTATTTGTAACGAATTTCCGGCCATTATTGCGGCCGCGCTGCCGGTCACTCCGAGCGCTCGACTCCGAGTCGGGCCCACCGTAGCACGCGCTAGCGTGGACACCAGTATCCCTTTCCGCAAGTTGCGCGTCGTGCGGCGGCAATAACGGCGAGCTGCTGGGAGGAGAACATGGCGAACCACCACAATTGTGGTGCGGCTGTTAACAGCTCCTTCCACCACTGCAGCGCCCTCCACCTCCTCGCCTGCTGGGAATCCCTTCGCCATCCCTCGCCTCCTCCTCGTCTTTCGCCGCAATACTTAAATCGCCGCAATTTCGCCATTCACCATCACCAACTGAGTTGCTTCTCTCGGTCCTCGAAAATCACCCGAATCTGATCCTCACCATCGCTCGCAGTGCCACTCTTTATAATTCCGACGCTCCGACGCTCTCTAAGTCGTTCATTAATATGGCTACTCTTCGCTCCGTGTTCATCCTCGCGTTGATCCTCGCCTCCCTTCCCGCACTCTATGCCGCGTCCGCGCCACCGCGGGGCGACGTTGCTGCTGGGGGAAGCGCAGCAGGCGTGGACGCGGCGAGGTGGGGCCGCAAGCTGCTGGAAGCGAGCAGCGGCGCGGCCGCAAGCGGTGCTGACGCGGACCTGAACCAGCTGGACGCGGACGTGGGTGGCGAGGAGGGGGAGCAGGTGGGGGAGGTGACTGACGTCGGGCTGGACGAGGCAGTGCGTGTGCTACTTAGCTCTGACGCTGACGTTGAGCAGCAGGGTGGCGCGGAGGAGAATGAGGAGGAGGTGGGGGAGGGGGAGGTTACGGATGGGCTGGACGAGGCGGTGCGGATGCTGATGAGCCTCAAGAAGTTCAAGAAGAAGGTGAAGAAGGCGGCGAGCAAGGCGGGAGGGCTGGCAAAGGACGCGGCGAGCAAGGCGGGAGGGCTGGCAAAGGAGGTGGTGGAGAAGGGCGGCGCGGACGCGGTCAAGGCAGCGGTCAACGCGTACAGCAGCGGCCAGGGGGCCAAGGGCGCGCTCATAGCGGGCAGTGGCTCGCTCGCTCGCACCGCGAAAACGATGGTGTAACGGGCGAGGGGATTGGATGGGAGGTGCGTGGTGCAAGGGGATGAAGGGCGCGCTCATGGCGGGCGGTGGCTCGCTCGCTCGCACTGCAAAAACGATGGTGTAGCGGGCGAGGGGATGGGATGGGAGGTGCGTGAGGCAAGGTGGCGATTTTTGAGTCGACTCAAAAATCCGTCAACGCGTACAGCAGCGGCCAGGGGGCCAAGGGCGCGCTCGTGGCGGGCGGTGGCTCGCTCTCTCGCACCGCGAAAACGATGGTGTAGCGGGCGAGAGGATGGGTTGGGAGGTGCGTGAGGCATGGTAATGTGGAGCAGCTGGTGCAGCAGTCCAGCTGCTGTGGTGCCTGCTACTGCTGGTAGCAGCACGGTGCAGTGGAGTTGTCCCGGCTGAGCTGATGTGGCACTGTAGTAAGGCTGTCTAACGCTGCTGCTGCTGCTGTTGGCGGTTGCTTGGTGATGCTGCGTGTTGTGGGAGGGTGGGGAGGGAAGGAGGGGTCGGGTAGTGCGGGTGGGAGGGTTATGTGGGCATGTGTGAATGGGGGAGGGCTGGTAGTGGATTTTGGTGTAGTGTGTGTCTTTTGCTTTGCTGTGATTTCAAATGCATGTGCTATATAGCTGAAGCCAAGTGTTGATTGAGAAAGGCGTTGTGTCCTGAATCCGTCACGCAGCAAGCACTAACCAAACACAGTAGGCATTTGCACTACACAAGCATTTGGATTGTCTCAACAAATGTCATAGCACAAGCAAGTAAAATAATGAACAAGTCTATGCAAGGACCAGTTTGTAGGTAACAGAAGTGAACAAGCACCGTCCTTGTAGTATATCCTCGAGCGATAGTTTTGTCTGTACGATCACACAAGCGGCGTGGTACAAGTCGCTACCGTACCAAGAAATGTCGATCCGCTACCGTACCAAACCCACGCTGTTATCCCCTGAAACCGACAGAACCAGCTCTTACTCTTTCAGAAAATGATCTCAGCGGCGATCAGCCTGATGCTACAATTCTACTTCTACCGCGCCCTCACTGTAAAATTTCATGATATCATCTTGGACTGGGGAGGCGAGTTCCTGAAGCCTGTCACAAGCACGGAGCCTGTCACAAGCACGGAGCCTGTCTCAAGCACGGATGGCTCCTCCAAAAGCCAACGCCGCCGCCGATCGCGGCGGCGGAACCCGCCGTGCTCCGTTTAACCGCCCTCTCTCCGAAGATTCGTTTGAGTTCGCAACAACGTCGGTCGCGCAGAATCCTTTTGAAGCGCCTCGGGAGTTCCGCCGAACTCCGCCGCCTGAACACGCCACTCCCGCGTGCGAAGATTCGCTCGACTTCGCAACAGCGTCGGTCGCGCAGCAGCTTCAGGAGGTGGAGCTGTTCGTGTCGCGCGTTAAATCGCAGCCGAATCCGCCGGTGGCCCTCCGAGACCTCGCGTTCCACATGGAGCAGATAGCTCACGTGAGATAGTTCTTGCCCCGTTGCATCGCTTCCAGGATTCTGGTCCTGTTCAGGGTTCCCAACTTTGGTTACGCGAGCGTGTTTCCTGTAGCTGCAATAGACGCATTTTCGTATTGGCTGTTACTCCTCGGATCAAATCGATTTCTCGCCTTTCGTATCCTGGTGAAACTATCCATGTGATACTGTCTCATCACATTTCGTCGCTATGTTTTGGTGTTGTATGGCATTGCATGGCATGGTGTCGAATGGCATTAAATGACACGGCATCGCATGATATGCCATGGCATTGCGTGTCATGGCATTGTATGGCATTATATGGCATGGTGTCGAATGCCATGAATGACATGGCATCGCATGACATTGGATGGCGTTGCGTGTCACGCTGACTTCTTACTAGTCTTTAAAAGAGGACGTCGGATTGTTCTCCAATCGCGGTTTGGAGCCTTTGGACCTCTATAAGCGATCGACCTTCAAACGCGGACAAGGGTGAGTGAGGCCGTAGACAAACAAACACATTTGCCCTCACTAGAATCACATTCGCTTCAGTAGAACACCTTCTGCCAAGCCTGTGTAAGTGACAGCAGTCACTCAGCCCACAAATCATATCCCCTTTGAAAGTATTTCTGTTTCTAAGCGCTTCATCCTCAAACGACATGCTGGGTCCCTCTATAATGGGTTGGTGACATGACATGCCACCCAGTGGGTCCGTCTATACCAGGCCTTTGAGGCTATGTCATCCAATGCGATTATGCCCTTTCTAAGGTAATCGCCTCCCTCTTTGTCCTTCCACCCCTCCCTCCCGCCCCCCTCACCCTTCCACCTCTCTCTCCCTCCCTTTCCTCCCAATCCCAGGGCCATCAGCTCCCTTCCTTCCTCCCTTTCCTTCAGGACCATGCCCTCCACATCATCGCTACCTGCGTTTGACGCGCTTCAAAAGTCACCCCCCCTTCGTTCCCTCCCAACCCCCCTTCATTCCCTCCCACCCCCAGCGCCATCAGCTCCCTTCCTCCCTTTCCTTCAGGACCATGCCCTCCACGTCATCGCTACCTGCGTTTGACGCGCTTCAAAAGTCACCCTTCTTCGTTCCCTCCCCCCCCCCCCTTCATTCCCTCCCACCCCCAGCGCCATCAGCTCCCTTCCTCCCTTTCCTTCAGGACCATGCCCTCCACATCATCGCTACCTGCGTTTGACGCGCTTCAAAAGTCACCCCCCCTTCGTTCCCTCCCACCCCCCCTTCATTCCCTCACACCCCCAGGGCCATCAGCTCCCTGCATGCCCTCCACACCATCGCTGCCAGCTTCTAAGGCGCCTCGCAAGTCTTCCATTCCTCCCTTCCCCCCTTCCTCCCCAACCCCAGGGCCATCAGCTCCCTGCATGCCCTCCACACCATCGCTGCCAGCTTGCTTCCCACCGCCGCCTCTCTGCCCCCTTCCACTATCGGAGCAGCAGCAGGAGCAGAGGGAAACGCCCCAGCAGCCAGAGCAGAGGCAGGCGGTGCAGCAGCAAGCGGGGAAATGGCAGCAGGGGAGGCACGGGCGGTGGTGAACGCACACACTGTGGATGTGCTGCTGTCATGCCTGCACAGCACTGCGAGCCAGAACACGGTGAGTGGGTGAATGGATGGAGTGGATAGCGAGTGGAGTGGAGAGCGGGGGCAAGGGGTGTAGCATCAGGAGAAGCAAGAGTGCAAATGGCACAGGCAGCGGTGAACACACAGACAGGGGATGTGCTGTGGTGCTGTCATGCCTGCACAGCACTGCAAGCCAGAACGCGGTGAGTGAGTGAGTGAGTGAGTGAGTGAGTGAGTGAGTGAGCAAGTGCGTGGGTGACTGGTTGAGTGATGGGCAGTGCCACTACACTACTAGATGGGGGGCAGTATCACAGCATCAGATGGACGGACAGGATCCCGCCGCCCGGTGAGCAATACTAATTGGCAATGAACAGTGCCAATCTGGATGGCGAATGGAGTGACAGCTGGCTGGCGAGCAATGTTCGTTCCGATGATGCGGGGCGGTGGCATGACAATGCGGTGCGGTGGCATGACAAGGCGGTGCGGTGGCATGACAAGGCGGTGCGGTGGCATGACAAGGCGGTGTGGTTCGGTGGCATGTGAAGGCAGCATGATAAGGCGGACTTCACAGTGCTGTGCATGCTGCTCACATTGACTGCTGGGCTTTCGGTGTTGAACGCCAACCATCTCAACTCAACTCCATACCCTTCCTTCCTCACTGCCCTCTTCCCTGCCCTCCTCGCAGCACGATCACTTCACAATGCTGCGGTTGCTGCTTCCCTCGTGCACACACGGCTTTGCATCAAGGGGCAACCAATGCCTTCCAGCTGCCTTCATCAAGCCCTTTCTTCCCCACGCCTTCCCCCTCCCCTCCTCCCCCTGGGCACATCGCAGCATGCGCACTTCACAGTGTTGCGTCTGCTCCTTTCCTCGCTAAAAGTGCTGCTCGCCTGCATGGATGACTGGGTGCTCAAGGGGATGCGCCTTCCAGCACTGAAAGAGGAGGTGAGCCGTCCGTGCTGAGCTAGTGATGCTGTTTTTTTAGGCGCCTAAAAAAAGTTGCTCTGTTGCATTGATGACTGGATGGTCAAGGGGAAGCGCCTCCCAGCGCTGCAACAGGAGGTGAGCTGTCTGTGCTGAGCTGTCGATGCTGAGCTGTCGATGCTGAGCTGACGATTCTGAGCTGACGATTCTGAGCTGTCGATGTTGAGCTGTCGATGCTGAGCTGTCGATGCTGAGATGTCGATTCTGAGCTGTCGATGTTGAGCTGCCGATGCTGAGCTGTCGATGCTGAGATGTCGATTCTGAGCTGTCGATGTTGAGCTGTCGATGCTGAGATGTCGATGCTGAGCTGTCGATGTTGAGCTTTGCGATGCTGATGCTGATTGGCGACGGCAAGGGGCCGAGATATTGCCGCCTTGGCAAGTGGGGTTTTCTAGGGACAGCTGGCTTGCCCTAAAGCCACTGAAGCCACTGCAGGCCACGAGCTGAGCTGCGATTTGACTTTTGAATCAACTCAAAAGTCACCTCGATATTGCCACCTTGGCAAGTGGGGTTTTCTAGAGACAGCTGGTTTGCCCTAAAGCCACTACGGGCCATTCAAATCGCAGCAAGTTGGTGCAACTACGGGCCATGCGAGTTGAGCTGCAATTCCTGGTGTGGCGTGGTGTAGTGTGGTGTAGTGTGGTGTGGTGTGGTGTGGTGTGGTGTGGTGTGGTGTGGTGTAGTGTGGTCTCAAGTGGGCTAGGGATGATAGGGTCATGCCGTGCATGCAACACATGACACTCTTAGCTTCTGAGTCGCCTCAAAAGTCACCTCTTTGACGGGGACCCGCATAATGGCAAGCTCGCCATGCATGCAGTATGCATGCCTGCAGTACATCACATATCATCACATCAGACTCTCAGGCTTCCCTGCATGAGCTCTCCTTTGCTCATTCCCATCGGTCCGTCCGTCATCTGTACCATATCCACGTGCGTGCGCAAAAGGTCTTCCTGCTCTCTCTCCCTGCATGTGCGTGTGTGGCATTCCTGTCCCATGCACTTTACATGTGTTTTGCATGTGTGTGCGTGGCATGTGGCATGTGTGTGGCATGTGCGCATGGCATGTGCGTGGCATGTGCGCATGGCATGTGTGTGGCATGTGCGCATGGCATGTGTGTGGTATGTGCGCACGGCACGGCATGTGTGTGGCATGTGCGCATGGCATGTGTGTGGCATGTGCGCATGGCGTGTGTGTGTATGGCATGCTCGTGCATGGTATGTGCGTCCATGGCATGCGCATGTACATGTGCATGAGTCATCTCTCTCCACAGTTTCTTCTTGGAGGAAATCAACGAACCTTGCCAATCCCTGCTAGCCCTATTCCACCGCCTCATACCACTACAGCCACTGCCCCACCAACAGCCACTACCACCACTACCACCACTGCGCCCACTACCCCCATTACCACCACCACCACCACCACCTCCACTACCACCACAGCCACCACTGCCCTTACTGCCCCCATCAGTACCACAGGAAACTGGGTCACCACACCCACCACTGTTCCCGCTGGCCCCATCAGCACCACAACGGGGTGGGTCGGCACACCCACCACAACCGGCGCTGCCCCTGCCGCCACCACCACTGCCCCCACCACCACCACCACCACCGGCGCTGCCCCCGCCACCCCCACAACCACCACTGTTTCCGCTGCTGGTCCCATCGGTACAACAATGGGGTGGGTCAGCACACCCACCACCACCAGCACTGTCTCTGCCGCCCCCCTCCACCAGCACTGGCCAGCGTTCCTCGTCCCGGTGCTGGCAGACATACAGGCCGCAGAGCAGGGGGTGCTGTTCCTGAGGCACATGCAGGCGCGGGGAAGGAGGCAGGGCGCGGAGCAGGGAAGTGGGGGAGGGAGGAGTTTGGGCAAGGGGAGCAGAGAAGAGGCAAGTGTGGGGAAGGGAGCAGGGAGAGACGAGAACACGGAGGAGGGAAGAGGGAGAGGAAGGAGGACGGGTGTGCAGGCACAGCAGCAGCAGCGAGTGGGCGATGAGGTTGAGGGTGCTGCTTCCGCCTCCTCCTCCTTCTCCACATGCCTTAACTCGCCAGCAGCCAAGAGGCTCATCTCCGTTCACCTGTACCGTGCCCTCTATACACACTTGCAACCCAGTGCAGTACAGTCCGGTGCAGAACATTCCTCCCCGTTGACTTCCTCCTCCCCCTCCTCCTCCCCCTCCTCCTCCTCCTCCTCGTCAGTGCCTTTGTCTCCATTATCCCCATCAACCCCCTCGATGGCATCATTATCAACTGCGTCTGAGTCAGGATCAGAAGGGGGTTGCTTGGTGGAGGCAGGGGATCTAGAGGAAGGGTATTCGGTGGACAAGGAGGGAGAAGCGAGTTGTTGGGATGAGGTGCTTGGTAGTGGTGTAGCAAGAGGACTCGGAGGAGCAGCCGGATGGGGAGGAGAGACGGGTGGCGGGGCGGGAGGGTACGAGGCGTCTTATTGGCTGTGGAGGGGCAGTGTGGATGACTCTGCTGACTGGATGGAAATGGTGAGATTATAGGGGTGGAAAGGGGTGGAGAGGGGTGCAAAGGGGTGGGAGGGTATGAGGCGTCATACTGGCTGTGGGGGGGTTGTGTGGATGACACAGCCGACTGGGTGGAAGTGGTGAGATCAGAGGGGTGCAAAGGGGTGCCAAGGCGTGGTGAGATGGGTGGCGAGGGGGGTTGAGAGAGGTGGCAAGGTGCTCGCGCAATGCTGCTGCAGCGCACGCGCGACTCAATGCTGAAGCGTTGAGGCGCGCCTGCTGCTGCAGCATTACGCGAGTTTCTAGGTGGTGGCAAGGGGTGGTGAGAGGAATGGCAAGGGGTGGATGTGGAAGCAAGGGGGGTGGTGCACCGGTTTTCATGAACCTAATCCCTTTTCTCTGTGGTCTTTGCCCTTATTCTCCACTGCCTATCGTCTTATACATCCTTCACCTAATCTCACCTCTAGTTTCTTTCATCATACATCCCAAGTTGATACTTCCCTCTCTCCTTTACCCGTTTCCCATCCATCGATGCCACTCCTGTGCGTTCACGACTTTCGAGGCGCCTCAAAGTCCAAGTTGAGACTTCCCTCTCTCCTTTACCCGTTTCCCATCTATCCATGCCACTCCTGTGCGTTCACGTTCCCCCCGTTGTCAACGAACACAGTTGGAGGAACAAGTGAGGCTGGGACGAGTGAGAGCGATAGACGGGGGACAGGAAGGGGAGGAGGAGGGGGAGAAGGAGGGGGAGGAGGTGGGGGAAGAGGAGGAGGAGGAGGAGGAAGAGGAGGAGGAGGAGGATGAGGGATTGGGGGAGGAGCAACAGCAGCCGGAGAAGCAGCAACAGCAGCAGGAGGAGGACGAGGAGGAGAAGGAGGAATGGGGGGAAGGAAGCGAGGCAGTGACGGCACACAAGGCTCAGCTGCGCCTCATGCTCTGGCTGCAGAAAGCGTGTGACGATCTTGGCGACTCCGCTTGTGAAGCTTCTCAAGACTCTGATGCTAGTGGCGCTGGCAGTGACGCTGGTGGTGGTGCTGCTGGTGCTGCTGGTGCTGGTGGTGCTGGTGGTGGGGTAACGGTAGCAAACAGGGTTCTGGATGATCCTACTTGCCTGCTGCAGCGGTGGATACATCCTCCCATTCAAGCATGGGTGAGTGAGCGCGTATTTTGAGTCCACTCAAACTGCACCTACACTCAAACTGCGCCTGCACCAAACTGCACCTACACTCAAACTGCGCCTGCACCAAACTGCACCTACACTCAAACTGCGCCTGCACCAAACTGCACCTACACTCAAACTGACACTCAAACAAACTGCACCTTCCACCCCCTTCCTCCCCCGTTTCAATCCCCAACGGCTCTCCTGCAGGCCGCACTGGTGACAGCAGACACACTGCGGCATCATGGGGACGTTTGAGGTCCTAAGGGATCTCACTCTCCCCCATCGCCTCCCCCCCTATCATTCCTCCACCCCCCACCCCCCTATCCTGCAGGCCGCACTGGTGGCAGCAGACACGGTGCGATGCCTCAAGATGCACTGTCCCCATTTGCCCCACTTTCAACTCTCCATTCCTTATTGCCCCTCCCCTTTCCCCCCATCGCTCTCTCACCCCCCTTTCCTGCAGGCCGCCCTGGTGGCAGCAGACATAGTGCGATGCCTCAAAATGCACCGTCCCCTCCCCCACTTCCCACCCTACCCCATCCCCCCATCCATTCCTTTCCCCCCATCCATTCCTTTCCCCCCATCCATTCCTTTCCCCCCTTCGCCTGCAGGCGGCAGGTAGCAGCAGACACGGTGCGATGCCTCAAGATGCACCCCTCCTCTGTTGCCCCTCCATATCCCATCAACCCATCATTCCTTTCCCCCCTTCGCCTGCAGGCGGCACTGGTAGCAGCAGACACAGTGCGATGCCTCAAGCTGCACTGCGGCATCATGGGGACGCTTGAGGCTCTGAGGGACCTGTTCTTCATCGGGGGAGGTAACTGGCATGTCTCTTGCCTAGGCCCACGCACACGGCTCGCTCTTTCTTTGTGCTGCCCTTGCTTAGTTTGACCCTTGATTGAGGCCGTAAGGGGCATCGTCTTTATTGGTGAAGGTATCTTGCATTGCATCTCACTCGTCTCGAGTCTCGATCGACCCACCGTTGCCTTTCTGTCGTGGGTTGCTTACTTGGTCCGATCTCCAAGGCCCTAAGGGACCTCCACCAATAAAGAAGGTGTAATGCCTCCACCCCTTTCTCCACTTCCTCATGCATGCGTCCCTCCCTATTGCAGTGTCGGTTGCGCCTGTGTTTCTTGAGGAGCTGTGGAAGCAGATGCGCACTAACGTGCTGCTGCCCGCACACACCACCAAATCCCTCCTCTCCCCCCCTCCCTGTCTCCCGTGCTCTCTCCCGTGCATGCTCTCTCCTTCCCTCTTGCAGTATCGGTGGCCTGTGTTCCTGGGGGAGCTGTGGAAGCACGTGCTTACTTGGTCCTAAGAGACCTCCACGGTCCACCCTTTTCTCCTCCACGGTCCACCCTTTTCTCCTCTTTCCCATGCGTGTTCGCTCCCTCCCTCCCTATTGCAGTATCGGTGGCGCCTGTGTTTCTTGGGGAGCTGTGGAAGCAGATGCGCAGCAACGTGCTGCTTCCCGTACACAGTCCCTCCTCTCCCTCCTTTCTCGTCTGCCGTGCTCTCTCCCGTGCGTGGCCCCTCCCTCCCTCCGTCTCGCAGTCTCGGTAGCGCCTGTGTTCCTGGGGGAGCTGTGGAAGCCGATGCGCACCAACGTGCTGCTGCCCGCACACACCACCGCCGTGCCCGTGCTCTCTCCCGTGCATGCTCCCTCCCTCCCTCCTTCGCAGTATCGGTGGCTCCTGTGTTCCTGGGGGAGCTGTGGAAGCACATGCTTACTTGGCCCTAAAAGACCTCCATGGTCCACCCTTTTCACCTCTTTCCCATGCATGGCCCCTCCCTCCCTCCCTCTTGCAGTATCGGTGGCGCCTGTGTTCCTGGGGGAGCTGTGGAAGCAGATGCGCAGCAACGTGCTGCTGCCAGCGCACACCACCGAATCACTACAGCAACTCATGGATGTGAGTGGCGTGAGTGGCATGAGGGGCGAGAGTGGTGACTGGCATGAATACACAAGTGTGCTGGATGGTGTATGAACGTCATAAACAGTCATTTTCGCCTCCTCTCGTTCGCGTTCCTTCACCAGCTACTCAGCCACTGCTGCCATGCCAAGCAAGCGCCAAACCCTGCTCCGTGCAAAAGTATACTGGCCGCCTCTATCTCTTCTCCTGCCCTCCCTCTTCCTGCCTCTTTGTTACTCACAATTGCAGATGGCAGCACACACCCATCGCAGCACCCCTTCACAACCTCCTCTCTGTTCCCCCCGCCCATCTCACCTTCACCCATCCTTCCCCCTGAACTTCCCGCCCCCTCCCCCCCTCCCTCCCCCCTCCCATCCCTCCCTCCCTCCCTCCCTCCCTCCCTCCCTCCCTCCCTCCCTCCTTATCCCTGCTCCTCCCACTCCCTCCCTCCCTTTGCTGCCTGCAGGGTTTCCTCGCTACAGCGGCACATGGCCACACCTCTCCACCGCCCTTCAATACAATCACGGTCACACTCAACAGCAAAACCTCTGACTTCCCCACTCCCGCAAACGCACACTCTCCCCTCCACCCATCCTCACCTTCCATCACCACCAAACCCACTGATCTACTACCATCTTCCACACCATTGAATCCTTTGCTTCCTTACGCCACTTCCGCTGCCACTCCTTTTGCCTACGCCAAGCCGTTTGGTGCCGAGCCTAATAATAAGGCCGAACCTGCAACTCCCATCAGGTTCACTGCCCATGCCGGACCTGTACCATTTGCCGGACCTCCAGCCTCGGTATCATCCAAACCTTTTGCCGGACTTACTGGACCCTCTATGCTTGCCGGACCTACTCCTCGTGCCGGGGCTGGTGGCGCATCAGGTGTCAAAGCCTCAACGCCCATGCCCAGATCTGGAGGTTTGGGAAGCGGAGGTGGTACGGCGATGCAGGTTCGCGTGACAGCAATGATGGAGTTGTTGGGGAGGATACACATGAAGCCTGAGGTTTGTGCCTATAAGCTCGCAATGGCTCTCCGGTTTATACTGGTTAAACAAGCTTATGTTTTTTTTTGTTTGTTTGTTTGTTCTCTTTTTTTTTTTAGGAGGGAAGGAGGGTGGGGGGGGGGGTCGTGGAGGAGGGGGGGGACCAGCTGTCTGTGTGCTGTCATCTTTTGTTTGTTTATTCGTCGTTGTTACTGCTGACATTAACATGCAGCCATGTTTAAAGAAATGCAGCTGGATATTGGTCCGTCATTGTCATCATCAGCACACGGCATCCCGTCACTCTCTCATGCACGCGGCTGCATGCACCCGCTTCGCTCCTTCCATCCATCATGCCTTCTCACTTCGTCACATCTCCATCCCAGCAAATTTATTATCTCTTCCTCTCCCCTCTCCCCTCCCTCCTTCCCCATGCCTGCCTGCCTGCCTGCTTTGCAGCTGGAGTGGCCATTGGATTTCCTCATGCACCCTGCAGCATGCGGCAAGTACAACCAGGTGTGTGTGTGTGTGTAGAAGACTGCAAGCACGTGTTGCGTTGCAGGTGCAAAGTAGACACCGGTAGCGGGAAGCATACACTTAGTACTCGTCAATATCAAGCAGTTAGAAACGCTTGGCCTCTGGATTTTCTCATGCATCATGCAGCATGCACCACGTACAACCAGGTGCATGCGTGTCGAAGACTGCAAGCATGTGTTGCACGTGTAGCAAGTGCTTGGGCCTCTGGACGCCTCGTTGCACCCTGCAGTGCAGTATGTGCCAAATGCAACCAGGTGTGCTTGTGGACTCGGTCAACTCAAAAGTGACTTTTGAGTCGACTCAAAAGTCACGTCAGTATGTGCCAAGTGTAATCAGGTGTGCTTGTGGACTCTATCAAATGCAGAAAGATCGTGCCCCACTAGTTTGGGGTCCCGTGTCTGATGGCTCACATCTTATTCCTTATGTTTCCTGTCTCGGTTTCAAACCTGAGGCCAACCTGATACTCCCTACTGTCGCCAACCTGATACTCTCTACTGTCGCCAACCTGATACTCCCTACTGTCGCCAACCTGATACTCCCTACTGTCGCCAACCTGATACTCCCTACTGTCGCCAGCCTGATACTCCCTACTGTCGCCAACCTCTCAGCCGCCAAAACTACTCTTGCCAAAATCGTCTAAATTATCTTCTCTGTCGCACCTCTCCCGTTTCGCCACCTATTTCCACTGTTTCCCACTCCCCTCCCATTAGCTCTTTGCCTTATTCTCCAAGCTCGCTCTCGCCAAGACGGCTCTTGACACCACCAAGGCACGCATGCTGCAGGTGAGGCACGCATGCTGCAGGTGAGGCACGCATGCTGCAGGTGAGGCACGCATGCTGCAGGTGAGGCACGCATGCTGCAGGTGAGGCACGCATGCTGCAGGTGAGGCACGCATGCTGCAGGTGAGGCACGCATGCTGCAGGTGAGGCACGCATGCTGCAGGTGAGGCACGCATGCTGCAGGTGAGGCACGCATGCTGCAGGTGAGGCACGCATGCTGCAGGTGAGGCACGCATGCTGCAGGTGAGGCACGCATGCTGCAGGTGAGGCACGCATGCTGCAGGTGAGGCACGCATGCTGCAGGTGAGGCACGCATGCTGCAGGTGAGGCACGCATGCTGCAGGTGAGGCACGCATGCTGCAGGTGAGGCACGCATGCTGCAGGTGAGGCACGCATGCTGCAGGTGAGGCACGCATGCTGCAGGTGAGGCACGCATGCTGCAGGTGAGGCACGCATGCTGCAGGTGAGGCACGCATGCTGCAGGTGAGGCACGCATGCTGCAGGTGAGGCACGCATGCTGCAGGTGAGGCACGCATGCTGCAGGTGAGGCACGCATGCTGCAGGTGAGGCACGCATGCTGCAGGTGAGGCACGCATGCTGCAGGTGAGGCACGCATGCTGCAGGTGAGGCACGCATGCTGCAGGTGAGGCACGCATGCTGCAGGTGAGGCACGCATGCTGCAGGTGAGGCACGCATGCTGCAGGTGAGGCACGCATGCTGCAGGTGAGGCACGCATGCTGCAGGTGAGGCACGCATGCTGCAGGTGAGGCACGCATGCTGCAGGTGAGGCACGCATGCTGCAGGTGAGGCACGCATGCTGCAGGTGAGGCACGCATGCTGCAGGTGAGGCACGCATGCTGCAGGTGAGGCACGCATGCTGCAGGTGAGGCACGCATGCTGCAGGTGAGGCACGCATGCTGCAGGTGAGGCACGCATGCTGCAGGTGAGGGGAGGCACGGCACACATGCATGCTGCAGGTGAGGGGAGGCACGGCACGCATGCATGCATAGAGTTTAGGCCATTCCCTCCTCTTTGTCTCATTTTTAGTCGACTAAAGAATCGGCTTATCACACACAGATTGCTTGTTGAGAGAATGTGTGCTGCTTGGAAAATTGGTTAGAACCTGGGTTACTCTCACACTCATTTGCTGTATCGTTTCAGCCATTCCCTCCTTTTTTACTTATACACCACTCACCCCACACTCTCTCCTTTTGTCTCATGCACACCTCCACCCACTCCCGCCTTTTGTCTTATACACCACTCCACCCACTCCCGCCTTTTGTCTTATACACCACTCCACCCACTCCCGCCTTTTGTCTTATACACCACTCCACCCACTCCCGCCTTTTGTCTCATTCTCGTGCACTTCCCCTGTGCCCTGTGGCATGCAGGAGCGGCGGTGCTTCCGTGACATGCCCGTGGCAGCACAGAGGGAGCTGCTGATGGTGCAGCACATGCAGCACGCCTTGCAAGCCATCCACTCGTTCCTCATGGCCAATGTGCGTGAGCCACGTGGCTGTAAAGGACACATGGAGCGTATGCATCGGTTTTGAGTCCTTGGATTTTATTAAGACATTGCAAAACTGCAGCACGTGCAGCTCAGTGCCCATGAGGCATACACTTCTAACCTCATGGCAAATGTGCGTTGAGCATTCACCTTGTGCACCACATGCAGCATGCCAACCAATCCATCCATCAACCTTTCTCTGTTTCCCTCTTCCTCTCGTCCACTCTTCCTTGCCCATCCAGTCCCCACCCTCTTCTCCCCTCTCTTCTCCTCACCCTCTACTATCTCCATTCTTCCGCTGATCTCACCTCCCTCTCCTCCCCTCTCCTCACGCTCCCCCACTCCTCTCCACATGCCCTCCCAGGCGGTGACAGCAGCATGGCACGAGCTGCAGGCGGCCATGGGAAGAGCAGCATCCGTGGTTGAGTGTTGAGTCAATTCCAAAGTCCTTTTTCCCCTCCTCACACTCCCCTCCCTCTTCTCTCCCTTCCCAGGCGGTGACAGCAGCATGGCACAAGCTGCAGGCGGCCATGGGCAGAGCAGCATCCGTGGCAGCAGTGGTGCAAGCACACCACCACTACCTTCACTCTATTCTGGAGGGATGCTTCCTTGTTAATTCCACCAACATGGTCAGTCAGTCCATTCCAGTGACTCTGCTGCACTTTCGTCTTTTGAGGCGCCTCATAAGCCCACCACCACACGCCAGCATCTTTGATTCGACTTAACAACACCCGCACTTCTCGCTCCTCCTCGCCCTTTTAGTTACACAAGGTCTGTTGCACTTCCGCCTCTCTCCTCCTTACTCGCTCGCCCGCTAGAAAGCCAGTCAAGGGCAGGCATCCTCACTCGCTTTCACCGCGTGGACTCACTCCCGCTCGCGCATCAAGTCCTTCTCCTTCACTCTCCAAGTCGTTTGTCCCACCTCATAAACCAATGTCGTCTCAGCTTCTCCTCTCCTTTGCCTTCCTTTCACATCCGACCATCCACCCCACCCCCTCCTCAGGGCAAAGCCATAACGGGCCTGAAAGTCTCTCTGCTCAGCGACGTACTTCTGTTCTGCTCACCTTCGTTCCCCTCTCTCCACCCCATCCTGTCCGCACATTGTCCTTCCCTTCCAGCCATCCACCCCACCCATTCCTCATGGCATGAATCTCGATCCTTGGGCCATAACGGGGTTGATAGTCTCTCTGTTCAGCAAGACCCGTTTCCTCTGCCCCTCTTCCTTCCCCTCCTATCACCCCACCCATCTGCACGTCTTCCTCCCCCCTCCCGCCTCCCTCCATGCCCCTCGCACCAGGGTAAAACCATAACGGGCCTGATAGCCTCTCTGTCCAGCAATACCCTTCTCTTCTGCACGCTCTGCCACTCCCATGTGCAAATCTTCCTTACCCGTCCCCACCCACCGTGCCCCTCCCACCAGGGCAAGGCCATAACGGGCCGGGTAGCCTCTCTTTCCAGCAAGACCCTTCTCTTCTGCGCGCTCTACCACTCCCAATCCCTCCAACCCATCCCCTAAACACGTCCTCCTTTCCCCCCCACCACCCACCCTCTCACCAGGGCAAGTCTAGAACGGGCCTGATAGCCTCTCTCTCCAGCAAGACTTTTCTCTTCTACTTGCCCTTCCTTCCCCTCCCGCCCAACCTTCCTCTCACCAGGGTAAAGCGATAACGGGCCTGATAGCCTCTCTCTCCAGCAAAACCCTTCTCTTCTGCGCACTCTACCACTCCCGCCGCTCACTGCAACGCCCACACCCCATGCCATCGCCCACCCCCTCTGCCACCGTGCGTAGTACTAACAGCAGCACTCCCACATACACACCACCTGCCAGCGGCAGCAAGGGGGGAGCAAGGGAGGAGAGGGGTGACAGAGCGGCGGCAGAGGAGGCGACAATCAATGTGGAGATTCAGCAGCTGGGAGAATTCTTCCATGCTGACGTGTCGGCCATCCTGCAGGTAGGTCATCGTAATGTGTCAACCATCGTGGAGGTAGGTCATGCTTGGCCTCTTGAAGGTGAGGCATGACTACAACTTATACTGCAAAGTTTGACTTGCAAGGTAAAAAAACACTTTGCAGTCCAACACAATGTTGAACCCTTCTTCTTTCGGTACTAGTGCTACCATCGCTGTCACACAACGCAGCATAGACACCATGTTCTGTCTTCTGTCGTGTGCACTGTACTGACCACATGCCATGCAGGTGGCTCGCAATCAAGCAGAGAAGCTGCCGTCGAGCATTCGGGACCTTCTCCAGCAGCTGAATTACAACCGCTTCTATGGGTGAAAGCTCTGGATTCTTGTTACCCTTATAGATTGTTAATGTGGCTACAAAAGTATAAAAAGCTCCGTTATTCACTTCAACTTCAAAAGTCAAACTTTGACTTTTAAGAGGACTGCTCAAGTTACCTGATACCACGTACTGGAATCGTTGCAACTTGAGCTACCTAGTCACCACTTCCCCTCAACAAACCGGCTTTCGCAACATTCCGCCTTGTGCATTCCCTCTTGTACGAGGCTCCTCACAACACCAGCCTTCTACCCTGCACTCCAGCTAGTACATACAAGCTCTCCTAAGAATTGGTCTGTCCACCACGAGTACTCAAGCTCTTCAACACTTCGTGGCTCCAAAACACTGCGCCAGGTGTCACAAATAGAGCAGCAAGGTGCGAAACACCTGATAATACTTGCAGGTACAGCAGCAAGACACCAAATGGAAGGGATATGGGAGTACTATAGGGAGCATCTGCGCCAGCCGAACCAGTAGGCGGAGGGTCGGAGAAGAACATGGGGAGGGGAGAGAGGCTCGGAAGCAGTTTGGGGTCAGCATGCAACTGTAGGGCGGGCGAGTAAGAAGTCGACGCTGGGTGGGCAGAACTTATGGCAGTGTGAATTGTGGATGAGTGTGCTTTTGGCATGCAGCTTGTTTCTTCCTGAATGTGCAGGTGCAACTGCGGAGAGTCACTACACAACGGGAGTGGACTACGGAGGAGGGCACGGGGTTGTGCGAGTGATCGTAGCATTCTGCTAGCAACCTGACTATTTGATTGTGTTCACAGAGAAGTTTGACAAGAATTTCACCAAGAAAGTGAGAAAAACATTGAGCATTGAAAAGATTAGAGTACAATCGAGGCATGCAAAATGATATGACTAGAATGGCATGCAACACCTAGCAAGGGCGAAATTTGCCAACGTAGCAGAAGAGCGGCTTGCCAACGCTGCAGCAGAGTAGTCTGCCAACATTGCATTGCGCGCGGTCTGCCGGCACTGCAATTGCAGGTGACTTTCTGCAGTCGCAGGTAACTATCTGCAAACGCAGCTTGTCTATTTGCGTAGATGTGCGCACCTACCAAATAGGTGCAGCTTGACGGTTTCACCGCCAGGCACATTTCGCAGGTGCCAGGTAGAAAACATGTCGTCGGTTTCGCCAGGTGCGCACCGTCGACCACGTGCTGCCCTTCCGCAGGTCAAACTTTGCCAAAACCTCCTGGGCGAAGTTTCGCACGTCTCCGCACAGTTTAGCACACCTCTGCAAGTTCGGTCGATCAGAGCTCCTCAGCCAGAACTCTTCGGCCAGAGTTTGTCGCGCAGAGCTCGTCGACCAAAGCTATCGACGAGCTTTTCGACCATCGCTCATAGACGGGCCTCCTCGACCACTGTCTTCGACCAGCGCTGCACGTCGACGATGTCGACCAGATTCCGTCGTGCAGAGTCTGCTCGACCGCAACTTCTATCGAACTGCAGAAGCCCACACTTCTTCGACCAATCCATCGCGAACTTCTCGTAGACGGCGAGATCGGCTGCGCCTAAGCGAGGGCAGGGAGTGACATGTTACAGCTGGAAGAAATTTGAAAGGGAGGTGATGGTAAAGATCCGGGTGGCTGTTAGCTATTGCAATTATCTGAAGGCAGCGTGGCTGCCATCTGCTCCAAGCAGTCGGCATAGGGCATAGGATGACGAAGGCTAAGGCTGGTCGACGTTGGAAAGATACAGGCAGTACACGTGTTAGCTCCTTCCATTGCTTGTCTCTGTTTTTTTACCCTATGTATGAACGTCTTTGCAAATGCAGAGAAAGCAGTGGCAGGAGAAGGCATAGTGAGCACCAAGTGAGGGTGAGATGGAGGAATGAGGGATGTGAGTGTGCAAAGAGCTCATCACATACTACGAGCAATCAAGGCGTAGTATGCACTTGCAATCACGAGGAGGAAACAGAGAACGGAACCATTACTAGGAAATTGGTGGAGGTAGGGGCGAGTTTGACGATGATGCATCAAGGAACGGACACGACGAGGACCAGGCGATATACGGCAGTGGGCCCAGGTAGGAGGTTGGATGGCAAGATGCGATGGCGATGGCTAGCGAGGAAGGGAACTGTGTCCGCAGGGGCAAGGATTGCACCACGATGTTTATGAATCAGATGAAGGCACACCATAAGATGGGTATTGGAGACCTAATGGGTATACATAAAAGGGAGCCATACCAACGGAGTGCAACATCGCAGGGCTCTAAAGAGGAGGCGGTTTCGCAGTGATAACATTACAGCTTCCTGCTGAAAGTGGTGGAACCAGAGCGTTTTTTCGGGGATTTCAGGCGCGGTCTGACCATCAAGAAATGTGTCATGCGGTTGGAGAACCCTCAAGAAAGATGGCTAGTGAATGCACCATCCAAGGAAGCTGAGACATAGTATAGGATCGGCAGGAAAGAGCCCGTGGCATGGACGGAAAGAGGAGCACTAGGGATGCGGAATCCAATGAAGATCTTCTTGGAGATGCCAAAGGAACAATTCCCACTCCGGACCCCTGGCTGCGTCACTGCGTTCCATGACTTCCACCGCTGAACGAGAGAGTCGCTGTTAGAATTGGAGGAAGATATGAATTGCGGCAGTCAAGGGTGTCTAATTTGGGTAGCTTCTCCATTGATAAGCTACGAGCTGCAACAGGACGATATAAGGACCAAGACTCATATTGCGAGGCATAGCAACTGATAATTTAGGGCGTCCATTAAAACAGGGATGTGTACAATGACGTGTGGCAGATCTCGGCGGTCTTAATGCGAAAAAGAGAGGCAAGTGGCTGCAAGCATTAGCACCAAGAGCAGAGTGGCTGGAAGTAATAACAACGGGAACGTCAACGGCAATAAGAAAGAGCCCTACAAACTTGGTGGGATCAGCGAGTTGTGTGATCACAAGGGAGTGGTGCAGCAACCGAACAACAACAAAATAGTGAGAAGAACCTCAATTGATGAGTATGGAGGGAGCATGTGAGGCACAGTTGTGAATGGAGTATTGAGTATCAAATGTATATGTGCCATATACTCTCAAAAGCTGCCTTAGCTTAGACTATGAGTGTAGTTACTTTGGTTTTGCTTGTCTTGGACGAATGTCCAATTCTCGAGTAGCAGTTTTTTTCACCAGCATTTTTGCATATGCCCTAAAGTTTATGGGCCATAGGTTCGCGCAACCTGGCCTCGCATTCGCAGGCATGAAATGGATGTACGACGCCTACAAACAGAGTATTCAGCATAGGGTGTCTAGACCCTACATTACAATCCCCACCATTTTACAAATAATGGGTGTTGCCATTTCCTTGCTATTCCGTATGAATCTTCTGGGGTAAGTTTTTTTTGCTCCATGCGAGGAACTTTACATTCACCTAGCGAATCGGCAAAATTTTCCAGCTCCTGGCAAATACACACGCGTGCAAGAACACAAGGAAAGCCACTGCAATTCCCATTTCACATGGTAATATTTCATTTGAGGACAAAACAAGAAAGAAAATACGCTGGGAGTATACACTGGGAGTGAGATCCAAGCAAATGTTCAGGCCCAGCCAAGAATTTTGGTACATCGGTGAGCGTTATTGTGGTTGGTTGTGCAGAAAGTGATTGTTACCTTCCACAACGGTTTTTGTCAAAAGGTACTAATCACACCCAATCAACTGATTTCAATTAATTGCAAAAAAATGCGTCTATTCGAGGCGATGAATCTAGTGCAATTAGAACCTTGATTGCGACCAAGTGATTGCCTCTGATCGCCTCCAAAGCCCAGCGTGGCTTCCAAGAAATCATTGGTCGGATCTGACCGTGACAATCATGCATGAGTCGAACGGCTCCACTATTTTTAATGTTTCCTACCATAACGATTTCCCCTGCACTTTGTGGGTGCAGGTTTACAATGGGGCCCTGTTCTGCTTTAATCTCAGGCTCGGGGTCAGGCTACAGTAAAACAACCACATTGGAACCTTCCTCAATAAGTGAGAAAGATGTTATCAAGGCTTGAGGTAAGCGGATTTAGGCCGGACCAGCGTTTAAAATGCTTGCTGAACAGCCTTTCTAACGCTGGCGTTTAACCCTTACGATGGTTACGGGAAAATTTTTCGTCTAGCAATATGATGTACCACTAATTTGCCGCATGATGTATCGTCGAGAGCCTGCACCATGCGGCGGATCAGTGATGCGGCCAATCATATATGATTGGTTGTTGATGCAGACCAATCATATAACTGTGCGAAGGTGCACTGCACTGCATGGTGCAGATCAGACCTATTTAAAACCAGGGTCTCACGTAATTGAACTGTTTTGCAGTTCTGGTAAAATTTTGGCTCTGATTGGCCGGCGAAGTGTAAGGTTTGAAATGGGGTGAAGCGAGTGTCGCAAAGCGATCACACATCGTTCGGTGCACCCAAACCTTCTAGGCTTGGAAGCTAGGTTCGGAGCCAACCCCCAACTGATCGAAAAGTCTCATTTACGCAAAATTGTTTTGTAATTGTTGCTGGGGCAATGATGAGGTGTGTCGGAAGCTGAGTTTTAAACCCAACCAAAGAGACCTTCGCCTGCACTAACTAGGTAATCGAGCCATCAACCGTTTAGCAGTTGATGGCTCATTTGCTAACGTGAGACCATGGCTTCAAGGCAATCAATCGGGTCAGATTCAATTAAATGGGTGAGATTGCCCCGATCTCACACGATTGATCATATTGTGCATCCTGCGCCACACGATCAGACCAAAGAATCGGGGATGCAATCGACAGATTGCAATCGATCGCAGTCGATTGCGTGCGATTGGTGCAATCGATAGGGGCATAGTTTGCGATCAAGAGATTGCCCTCGATCGGCAATAAAATATTCTACAGCTTCCAGGAAATTAAGGATTGCTTTTTGTTGACATCAAATGCCTCATATCTCCCCAATCTGCACCACGCCCTAATAGTTCAGCAATTGTTCGCACCTAGACGCGAATTCTTCTTTTGCCGTGCCAATTTTCTTTTTTGGTCATTGTATGTGTTTCCT